TTTATCATCATCATTTCTTGGCATACATCTTTATTATTACTATTGAATCCAGCTCTATTTTTTAACTTTTATCTTGAAATACCAGCTTTATTTTTTAAAGCAAGTTGGCTATTTCTTTTGTTATCTTTTGCTGGCTCCTAATTCTCTACTTCATCCTATATTGAGTTCTGACTTCACTACTATTCTCATTTATCTCTACACTCTTTCCCAAGGTGATCTCACCCAGGGCTTTAAATACCAATTTTGTTCATGAGTCCCAATTTCGGGTGTTCTGTACAATCTTGTCCTCTGAGTTCCAAGCTCATATACCTGGCCATCAGTCAGAATCTTAAAGTGTCCAAAATAGAGCCCTTCTGTCTCCAAACACGTCTGTTTCTCTCTCTCTCTCTCTCTCTCTCTCTCTCTCTCTCTCACACACACACACACACACACACGCACACGCACACACACACACTTTTTGTAGAAGCACAATTCATTCTGCTATTCAAGAACTGTTGGTCTACCCCTCAGCATTGGCTAATGAAGGATGACTTTAACACCAGTCACATTATAAAGAAATTCTCATTATTAGCTCTGATTTTAATTTCCCTAACCTTTTCTAAGTTTCATAGGATGAACTAGAGTACTGAAATAAAGAGAATGGAAACTTGATGATTAAGAATTATATTGCACAGGAGAAGAAAAAGAACTATTAAAATTAAAACCAAGTTAAAACAAAAGTATAATTATATCTACATAATAAAAGAAATGTGTTTCTTTATTGGCTGTCCAATACCTGACAGGTGAGCCATGTATTTCATATGACTTAATTAAAAACTTGTTATCACAGCTACACCACCATCATTCAGATGCCTCCAACACACTTCCTCTTAGCTTTAGAGGTGGCTTTGCTCAAAGATAGTTTGAATACAGTAGAGAAAGAAAGTCAATGAAACTTTTATCTTGAAATTTTCCACTGTGAGAAAAAAAACATTAATGTTCTCTAATTTGAAAGGATGTTCTCTAAAGTAAAGATATACATCCCATGCATATGGTAAYATCTGATCATTTTTATGCATCTTTTAGGGTTTATGTGATATGTCAAGAAAGAGATTGGAAATTTGTTGCACTGATTATTAGTTCTAATAGTAAATATGACTCTCTGCTTAAAGTGATGAAAAGTGAATAAATCTCCCCTGGTAGCAACATCCRAAGACAAAGTTTTGTTGAACATGGCTTAGAATCTGATCTCTGATTGGGAACATATCCAAATATGTTCMACACTTCTCTGAGGCAGCTGGGAGAAGATGGCTTTGAAATGACATGTGAAGTTCWTGTTAAAAACTTGCAATTGAGACTCATTTCAATGTGGTGACCAAAATAACTTCCTAAAGCATATGTTCAGGTATTCTTCTTTAGTCTAAACTACACCTATCTGATGATAGAATACATATTGTTTAAAAAAAATATCTTTACATAAAATATATTTAAAAGTTCTTGGATGACTTGCTGGATCTGTGAAACTGCAATCAATCACTTTTTTAGGAAAGATTCCCTCCACGGTTTTCTATTGTYATTCTTTTCACTTTCTCTTTTATTTCATCCAGTAAAATCAGGAACATGAATACAAAATGTGGGGCAAATACATACAGTTGCTTAGGGATAGAAGCACAGAGAAAATATAATCATGAAAAATGGACAGAGCATTGCAAGGAAGAAAGTAGAAGATAGATTTTTGTAAATCAAAACTCTTCTACATATACAAGACTAAAAAATAGTAAGTTCTCTCTGATTTGATTTTCCTGATTTTTTCCACTACGAAGGGTACATAGTTCAGATGAAATAGGAATAAAATAATTTTWAAAATCTTTCTTTCTTTTAACTTTTAGGAGGCACTTATGTGCCATCTGTTTATTGATCTTGCAGTCAATTCTTAGTCACCAGCATGGAGATTCTGTTCAGCAAATGGGATTGCTGAATGCCATCCCTCTCAACACCCACACTTGTTTACTGCTTCATAACCTCCATGTTCCAACAGTTGGTGGAACAGAGAAAAACACACGAAAGGAAAAAAAGAAAGACAGCTAGCTTCAGTGGAAAGAGTACCAGATCTGGTAAGCACAGACATCTCTCCTGCAATATACTGGAGCAGGCTTATATGGGCTCAGAGAGTTGGTTTGTAAAATATTTAGGAATTTTTTGAGCCAGCTGTTAAACCCAAGCATTATTAACAAACAATACACATTTAAATATAAATAATTCCTTTAAAAACAGGTACTAAATATTTAAAATCAACCTCTTCCTATTTATTTTACCACATTCAATTTATCTATGCTTCTGAGGTTATTGGTGCCTATTACATCTGTATGCTGAAAAGGCTAGCTTAAAAGTATACTTGAAATTGACCAATGTGGAAGTATTTACATCAAAGAAGTTGGAACATGCTACAAATCAGGATGTGACTGGTCCATTGATTGTCTAGACTTAAGAAAGTGATGGAGAAATATTTTTTTTCAGAATACAATTTAAACCTCAAAGTGTCGTGTWTACAAACACTGCATTGTCAACAACACAAAAGAAACTGAAGTAATTTTCCAGTATTTGGAAACTATTATCCAATTCAGAAAAATATCTGTTCATGTCATTCATGAAATTCCAATATATCTTCCTTGTTTTACTTTCCCTTCTTCTTAAAACAAATGCAAATATTAACCAGCATTCATATCATCACTACAGAACCAAGAGTTTATCAAATTTAWTAAAAGGATTCTGCCAGATGTAATGGGTCAGGCAGAATTTACATAAGAGTATTGCATATTTTATTAGTAGTATGCTTATAAATGGAGGCCTACATATTCTCTATATACATATCACCATATATGACATAATAATGTGAAATAAACACTCATGTTTTATTTAAGACACAGCTRTTAAATAATTGTTATCACCACACTGTATCTACCATCCCAAAACTATCAATGTTGAAAAAAAATTATTTAACTCTATGAATATCAACTTCCTCATCTGCAAATCTGTGAGATGGGTACCTTTCTCAGAGAACAAATTTAGGAGGCAAAAGAAATATTTATGCCAAAATTATGTATAGATTGCCAATAATAAGTAATATCATAAGTTCAGCAAATATATTTCTGTTCCTAATATAAACACTAATRATTAGCAATTTGCAAAAATGAATAATGTCATATTCCCTACCATCAAGTTGCTTACAATCTAGTGATGAGAGGTAACACTTTAATAACTTGAGATAWTTGAAAAGGAGATAAAATGTGTCCAAGAAAAAAAGCAAGTGGCTGAGGCAAAGTGGTTTCACCTGGTGTAAGAAGGAAGACTCCACAGAGAAATGGAATTTTCAGATAAGTTTTGAGAATGAATTGCATTGTATCAGGGAAAAGGGGGTACATGGGAAATKGAGGCATTTTGAACTGATGGATGATACCTCAAACTGTTATCATAAATATTACAGTGCCAATTAAGAAAATCATAATTGTATTGATGAATCTGCTGCATAAATAACCGTATGTAATTTCCACATAAAATAGAAATTATGCCATTATGGATTATAAAATTCAGTGTGTTTATCTACAGTCTTATAGAATTAAGTGTTGACTAAATATTCAGCTTTCCAACTCACAAGTCATATCATTTTCTAAAAACCAAAGTACAAATTGTCCCTTGGCCATTTTCCTTAGTGAAAAAAAAAAACATACATGTTTGAGTGAATTTTAAAATTATTTTTTAAAAAATATTCTATAAAATATGTTCTGCATAAGTTTTTGCAGGACAGAAAGGATTGTCCAAAGACTTAAGACCCAACGGGTTTCAAACCAATGAATAAATAAATAATGCATGCATTATGTAAACAATGAGTACATCTAAAATGAGGTTTTTATGGAACACTGAAGCAAAGAGAAAGTGAAAACATGTTAAAATCTTCAGGGATCAAGACTAACTACTAAACAGAATTATTTCATCTTTCAGTTAATRAGTTTTGCAAGAGTTGACATTACTCAGTAAAGTTCATTGAAAGCTTTTTCMGGCTGCTTGTCAAAATATGCTAGTTACACCTTTGTGGTTTGTGACAAATACAAAGCTTAGAAGAAAGAGTGGAGGKGCACCTACAGGATCTGTGATAAGTGCAGTGAAAGGGAGATGTCTATTAATCGCTCACACACCAAAGTCTGACACAAAAGGTACATGGCCTTGACCTCCAGTGATCATGGAATAGACCGCAGGGTCAGTCTAGTTTCCAAAGGGATTAAGAATACTTGCTCCAAATCGAACTGTCTTTTTCTCTGCACTCTGTTTTCCAACTCCCCATTCCACGCACTTCCTCCGCAAGGCACTGGGCCAAAATAAAAAGCCAGTTTAGTCTGTTCTCTCCCCGATGACAGCTGTCAGTCTTTCGCTAATCTAAAGCGGAATTGAAAGGGCAGGGCTGGAACTACTCTGTTTGAAAGCACACAGCTAGATTTGCTGAAGGTAAGACCACCTCGCTCTTATCTAAGAGAACTGAGGCTGCTGCTGTCTCCTCTGAACCTGTGTATTCCCAACGCACCTCCTAATTAAGCAATGTTCCTGGAAATCATCCCTAGAAGAGCCCACAAGCCCCTGTGTAACTTCAGCGGGAATGCAGAGGGTGCAAAAGCCAGGTGTCCGAACAAGGGGCGGGGAAAACGCTCACTCCTGGAGCKCCAGGCAGCAGCCCCTGGACCGCGTGGCGACGCCCGGCAGGGGCGCAGTGAACCCTAGCGCTTAGGACCCGAAGTGAGACCGCGCCCTCCCGTGGGCAGGGAAGACCCTGTGAGTGCCCGAGCCTGGAGGGCAGCGTGAGCCCAGAGAAGCGGCCAGGAGGGTTGGGCCGGCAGGGGCGCCGGGTTCGCCCTCCYGCCACTTGTCCCGAGCTGTGGATGCGCGGAGAGAGCCCCGAATGACCGGTTTCCGAGCAGCGGCCACTCGCGGGCAGAGACCAGTACCAGGGCGGGGGCGCGCGGGACACTCACCAGCTGCAGAGCGCAAAGGCAAATGAGCGAGCAGCGCCCGGTGCAGCACCCCATGGTGCCTGCGGCTTCCGAGCTGCACCGGCGGCGAGAGATGCACCTACTCCGGCGCCGCGGCTTCCTGACTCCGGAGCAGCGCCCCTTCTAGCGCTCGCTTGGCCCGGCCCAGGCACGCCGGCCCCGCGGCCACCGCTCGCCGCTCCCGGGCTCAGGGCTCGCGCCTGTCTTTGTTAGTTTCCTGGCGGGGCGGGCCGAGGTCAGTGAGGCGCGCACGACCCGCGCGTCTGGCGGGGGTCCCTGCCTCCYACTGTGTAGGTCTGCTTCTTGGGTAGGGGGAGCTGGCTAAGCGGGCGGGGCGGGGGGCGGAAGGAGGCTACAGATGGTGAGTGGGTGAATGTCTCTTTAGGGGAGGGGAGTATCTAGGAGGTGGGCGTCTGGAAAGTGCAGTGGGTTGTCTGGGTCGGAGTGTGTGTGTGTGTGTGTGTGTGTGTGTGTGTGTGTGTGTGTGTGTGTTGTGTGTGCGCGAGTGTGTTGGGAGGGGATGAATGAAAGGGAGTGCCACTGGAGAGGATCAGCCTGTCTTGTTAGGAGTCTTTGGGGAAGGAGAAAGAGGGACAGAGAGAAAGAAAGAGAATGAATATGAATGAGCGTGAATTAGGGCGGCGGGCAGTGATGGAGCCCCTCCGGGACCAGTATAATTGGGGATACGCTGGCTGGGCTTTCTCGGCTTTCTCGCCGGGGGCTGGGAGAGTGGTCGGAGGCGTTTGCAAAAGAGGGGAAAAGGTTCAGTTGATCTGCCCTGGAGATGGAGAGAATTGGGATGATTTGGTGCCCAGAGAGRAAGAGTCCAGAGGCGAGAAACCAAGGATGGGCAAGGGCCACAGAACCCAAGGCGGAGGTCCCGAACCTGCCCAGTTGTGAGCGCAGATGGCTGGAGGGGCACAGGAGGCGCAGTCCGCTCCTCTGAGCACGGAGCGCGCAGCTCCGGGTCTCCAAGCTGAGGTCGCTTTTGTCCGCCGCAGTCGGTTGCTGGGAGGGCGCCCCTGCTGGAGTCTGCAAGGGAAAGTTGGACGGAGTTGGTTTGCAAGAAGCGCTGTGAAGAGATGCGTCGGTAGGAGCACTGGGACAAACCGMTATGCTGGGGAAAATGGCTTAGGGTTCTCAACCCAAAAAGTCTTTGAAATCCTCATCCAGAAGTGAGAAGAAAGAAGTCGAGGAAGAAGAGGATGTGTAGCTCTTTATAAAAACGGAGAATGTTTCCAGAATAAAGATAAATATGATTTCTTCCTAGAGAGAAATAGAATTAAGACCTAACTCTTGATACTTAAGATCCTGGACAAACTCTCTATGAATCCCAGGAAAGCTCTCTGGTTCTCCTCCATCAAAAGAACAGAGCAGAGTTGTCCCGTGGAGAATTAAATTTCATCAGGGCTCAGAGTCATATTTCATGTTTGCATTCTCAGTACCTAGTGRAACTGCCAAGAGCAGCCTTAACAGAGAACAAGCCTCCTGGCCAAGCCTCTTCTTTGGCATAGAAACACTCTTTCTAATTCCCTGCTGACCTCCTGGGTTCTCCGTGGTAGGCTGATTTTTTAAAAAAGGGAGGGGGAGATGGGGGGCAGAGGATCTTTGCATTTTTAAAACATTTGTTCCATACCTGGAGTCTGCTCAAACCATTCATTCAGGCATTAAAGGGACTTTAGTTTTTATTTGTTTAGCAATTAACTGGCTGTTTGGGAAACATTTCTTCAGGACCTATGTTTATAATTTAAGGCTGTTTTAATTCCCAGGAAAATTTTCGCATGATATCTTTGTAATTCTAGAAAGGATATATGAATAACCTCAGGATGCGGGTCAGTAAAACAGTCAAGAACATTCATTGTTTAGAATCCAGTTCTGTTTATTATCATGGAGAATGGAGAAATGGAGTCAGAAACTTTAAAAAAAAYTTTTTTAACCCAACCTTTAAGACATCCATGATCAAGGATTAAGTGGACATGCTGCCTTCATGCACAATAAACACATCCATTATTATGACTGTGTATATATGAGGTGACCCTCAACAGTGCCTGTGTTAATGCAGTAATGTTGAGAGGTGAAATGATTGGATTCTAAGATGTGTAACCTAATCAGTCCATCCTAATTTGAATGGACTGACTGGGTAATAACTGTAGGCAGGAGGGGCATGGCTGAAAGAGATGGGTTACTGGGGGTATGCCCTGGGAGGGGGGTTCCCAGTGGTTCCTTACCTTTTCCTTCCCTCTTCCTTTTTCTCTGCTTTTTTATTACCATGAATGAGGTGAGCAGCTACTCTCAGCTAAATCCTTGACCCATGCCATTTGGCCTCACTTTGGGCCCAGAGCAATGGAGTGGGCTGACCATGGCTTGAATCTCTGATATTGTGAATTTGAACAAACTTTTCTTCCTATAAGCATTCTTATCAGTGATTTAGGTCACATTGACACAAAGCTGACTAAAACACCTATCCTTATAGATGGAAACAATACAAAAAAAAAAAGACCCTGAAAAATAAAAAATTTAGCATATGGAAAAGGTCACTACACAAAGTCATGAGTTATTGACCCTCTTTAAATTATAGGAAGCAAATTGAGCATGAGGATATGAACCAGTCTTTTATCCAAAACTTCTAGAAATTACCATGGTCTCTTTATCTTTAGAAACTGATAAAAATGGAATAAGGATAATACCTCCATCTTCTTGCCAAATTATATATGTTAACCAAATATACTTTAATCATGATTTTATGTATTTATTTAGGAAGTACCATACAGCAACTAGGATATACTGGGTTCCAGAACCAGGTGCAGATATAAGTGCTTTTTGTATATATTGATTTATTTAATCCTCACAAGAGTCCCTTGAGATAGGTGCTGTGCATATCCCCAGGGATGGGATGTGAAAACCAGAGCAGAGAGTCCTTATACTACCAAATGGAGGAATGAAAGTGCAAGGGCAGGCAAGTGGATTCCACATTTACCACACTGCTTCAGAAACAGAGGACACAGGGAGTGTAACAAACTGCTCCCTCRGAGTTCATAATAATTTGCATTCATCTAATCTCCAGAGTTAGTATCACCCATGTGCTATGACTTTAGGAGACCCTGTATCTCTCCCAGCTCACTCTCTCCCAAGCGATCCAGATTAGAGCTTCTTTTCTGTGTAATTTAAGAAGTTGAAACTGCATTTGTTTTAAATGCATTTTAGTATACAAAGATAACACAATACTAGTAACAAGTCTAGAAATTGTGCAAAGCTACCTTTATTTTTTGCCGCAGTCTGTTATTCTTCTAAATTGAACAAAATCTTGAGTAAAAATCGCCCCCTGTATTTCTTCCCTTTTTCCATCCTTCCCTCCAGTAGCTCCTATGCATGTTGTCTCTCAATTGCTCATGATGTGAAGGGCATGCTAACTAGGTGTGCAAAGATAAATGATACCACTCTCTGCCCTTCCCTCAAGAGCTTGCAGGTGGGAAGGCAGAGCAGGGGAACAAATAAAGTAGCACCTCCTCTAAAGGAGTTTGATACCCAGTGCTGTCCTTGAGTTTTCTTCCTATGAAGGTTAGGGAAGATTTAAAAGAGGAATTGTCTATCTCCTGAGGAGAGGAGAAGAGAAGAAAGTAGGATATTACAGAGCAATGAAAAAAAGTGGGACTTGGAGAGAAGATTGGAAAACCCAGTTGAAGAGGAAATAAAAATCCAAGTAGAATAGCAAATCAGATATAAGATTGTCTATGCCACTTCCTGGATCTAGAATCTTAGAGATGTTGGTTTGATTCCCTTTGACTATTTTTCCCATGTGTAAAGCGGGCACTATGATGTGACTTGCCCAGTTGGACTGAGCTTCCACATGTACTCTTCATCCTCCTTCTGGTAGAGCTGGCCTCCTGGCCTCCTGTGGGTCTCAGCCTCATTCTCATCCCAAGGTGACCGGCACTGTCATGCCATCTGAAGGAGCACCCTAGCCACTCATATTTAACCATTCAAAGATGAATGAAATATATATATTAGAATAATACTAGTAAGACTTTGCCCTCATGAATGGATTAATGCCRTTATCCACTATTTTATGAATGGATTAGTTATAAAAGGAGGGATTTACTCCTCTCAGTACCCACTCCTTCTCCATTCTTCCTTTCCCTTTGCCATAGCATAAAGGCCCTCAGCAGATGTGACCCCTCCATCATGGACTTCTCGGCCTCTAGAACCACAATCCAAACAAGCTTTTATTGTTCATAACTTTCCCAGTTTGTATCACTCTATTATATCAGCACACAATGCACTAAAACAAACATACGTATAGCCACAAATAATAGATGGTATGTATTCAACGTATATAAACATACCCRTGCATACTTAATGCCATTTGAGTCTCTTGTGGGTTTTTGTTTGTGTCGCACATCTATCTTTTTTATTTATTTGTTTTTTGGTAAAATTGCTTTTGAGAACCCCCAGTCCTGTCTTCCTTAAAGCTGAGGTAAGGGTGAAGAGAAGAGATTTGCCAGACTACAGGATACTGGAGGAGGGAGGAGACAACACATCAAAAAGATCAAATTGGAAGTATAGATTTATGTATTTCAAACACAAGTTGAGTGAGTATCCCTTATCCAAAGTACATGGAACCGAAGGTCTTTTGGAGTTTTGAAATATTTACATATATGTAATGAAATATCTTAGGGATGGGACCAAAGTCTAAACTCAAAATATATTTTTGTTTCAGAGGAACCTTATTCACCTTATTCACACACTGTGAAGATAATTTTAGGCAATGTTTTTAGTACCCTTGTGTATTGACTAAAATGTGAAGTCAAATACAGATTTTCCACTGGTGGAGCACTTTGAATTTCTGATTTTCAGATCAGAGACACCCAACCTGTACCAGGATGTGGGGCACTAGTTCCTCCTCAAATGAAAAGTTCCTTTTTAATTAAAATTCTTTTTCGGTGATTTCGCTATTTTGTTTGCCTGTTGGTTTGTTTAAGCCTTCCAGTTCTACATTTTTGTTTGAATAGAATAATTTATAGCCTAATTAAGCTTTTTATGTTCACTGTGAAATGTTTTAAAATGTGCCCTAAATATGTGCTTTCTCTTTGGTGTCGGCTTAATATTGGACCTCTCCTCGGGACCTTATTCAAGCAAACCACGCATAATCCTCTTTACCTACCCCTACAACTGGCTTTATTTCATGGTTATCTGATAGACCTTGAGAAAAATAGAATGCCAACTCGGCTGAAGCAAAGATAAGACTTACACTGGTGCAAAATGTGCACAGAGAATTCAGAGTTCGCCCATGAAGAGCTTCAATACATTGGGCTGCTATTTCATGCCTGTTGAGGCCACTTGTTTTGTAGAATTGGTTCACTAACTATATGTAAGATGTAAGTCCTATAAATTTAGAAAGCAAAATGGGGAGAGGTGGCAGTTAAAACTTCTGTACATTCTTATACCCTAAAAATGCT